ACTTATGTGTAGAATCTTAAAAAAATGATACAGGGCTTCCCTGGTGGCACAGTGGTTGAGAGTCCACCTGCCAATGCAGGGGACGCGGGTTTGTGCCCCAATCTGGGAGGATCCCGCATGCAGCGGAGCGGCTGGGTCCGTGAGCCATGGCTGCTGAGCCTGCGCGTCTGGAGCCTGTGCTCACAGCAGGAGAGGCCACGGCAGTGAGAGGCCCGCGTACCACAAAAAAAAAAAAAAAAAAAAAAGATACAAAACAACTTATTAACTAAGCAGAAATAGACTCACAGACATAGAAAACAAACTTATGATTACCAAAGGGGATGGTGGAGGTGGGAGGGAGAAAGACAATTTAGGGATTTGGGATTAGATCCACGCTACTATATATAAAATAGATAAACAACAAGGACCTACTATATAGCACAGGGAACTATATTCAATATCTTGTAATAACCTTTAAGGGAAAAGAATCTGAAAAAGAATATACATATTATATATAATATATATTATATATATAATTGAATCACTTTGCTGTACACCTGAAATTAACACAACATTCTAAATCAACTATACTTCCGTTTTTAAAAACGTGTTAAAAAAAAAACAACACAAGGAGATACCATGTCACATCCACTAGGACAGCTAGGATCAAAAGACAAATGGTAACAAGTGTTGGTGAAGATACGGAGAAATTGGAATCCTAATTTATAGCTAGTAGGATTGTAAAGTGACACGGCCACTTTAGAAAACAGTTCACCAGTTCCTCAAACTGGTAAACATAGAGTTACCACATGAGTCCCAGAGAAGTGAAAACATATATCCACACCAAAACTTGTACACAAATTTTCTTAGCAGAGTTTATTCATAATAGCCAAAAAGTAGAAACAATCCAAATGCCTCTCAACTGATGAATGAGTAAACAAAATGTGGTCTATCCATACGATGAGATATTAGTCAGCCGTAAGAAAGGAATGAAATACTGATACATGCTACAACATGGGCGAACCTTGAACCCTTAGCACATTATGCTAAGTGAAAGAAGTCAGGCACAAGGGGCCACATACTGTATGATTCCATTTATATTAAATGTCCAAAAGAAGGAAATCCATAGAGACAGAAAGTAGATTAGTGGTTGCCTAGGGCTGAAGGGTGAGGTGTACAATGGTCACTGACTGCTGATGGGTGCTAGGTTTCTACTGGGGGTGATGACAATGCTCTAAAGTTAGACTCCGGTGATGGAAACACAACTTTGTAAATACACTAAAAACCATTGAATTGTAAGATTTAAGTGGATGAATTTTACGGTATTTAAATTGTATCTCCATAAAGCTGTTTAAAAATGAATCCAGGAAAGAACTCATTGACCCAGCTTGAGTCAGATGCCTATTCTGAATTTACTACCTGTGGCCAGTGGGAGCAGAGGCATCGGGGAAGGCTTGTAAGAATATGGCAGCTCCTCTGAGACCCAGCGTCTCTGGACAGAGTTTATGTTGTAATGGGGAGGGGAGGGGTTCAGTTCCTAGGAGGGGGTAGGTTATTAGCAGACAAAACAATCGATGCCTACCACACTGGCTATTTTTATAGAGAATTTACATTTACCCAGATACAGCATCAAGTGGTGCTTCTGAATTATCTCATTAATTATCACAACAACCTTGTAAGTTAGGTTTGTAAAACCCATTTATATTAGTAGAGGCTCAGGTTACATAACTTCCCTAAGGACACTTAACTATTTAGTAAGTAATGTTGGGCTCGGGTTCAACCCAGATCTGATTCCTCTCTCAATCATTAGGCCACACTGCCTCCTTCTGGCCTTACATGAGTTGTTAAAAAAATTCTGGAATGCACCACTGGAGACCTAACTTTAGATCCCTTCTTTATTTCGTTTGCTCATTTACTCTTTCATTGAAGGAGACCTTTCTAACATGAAAATCAGAAACTTCCTTTGCTGTCCTGGGACCATTGTTGTTTATCTTTGAGAAGGGCCGGAAGACTCGAGATGGCTGTTCAGCCCCTGCCAGCCACACTGCTGTCCCCTCCACATTCCTCCAGCTTGCCCAGGGTACAGAGAACGGGGGCAAGAACACACCTTGCTGCAACGATGATGCAGTAGGTCTGTAGCGGTCTCCTGATCCACCAGCCAGTTAACCCTCTCCAAACAGGAAATAAGGGTCATCTGGCAAGATGTGTGTTTAGTGAACCAGTGCAGCTTATTTTCCAAGTGTTCTCAAGCTGTCCGCTTAACAATCCACTCTCAAATTCTGCCTGCAACTGGATGGCAGAATTGATGGAGGCCAAGCCTGCTGGTCTGTGGTTCCTCAGACCTCCTTTCCTTTTCTTTAAATATATTGATACAGTAGTTTTCCATCTCTAGTCTCCTGGTATTTCTCTGCTGCATCATGATTTCTCAGCCATCATGGGAAGTGGCTCTATAACACCATCTGCACATTCCTCCTGTCTCCTGGGGTAGGATCCAGGTGGGCCTGTGATGGGAATCCACTGGAGAGCTGGCCACTCACCTGCTCTCCCCTCCCCTATCTTAAGCTCTGGATCTCTGTTTTTTCCACATTTGTCCTGGCCTTCCCAAGATAAAGCATGCTCTTCTCGGTGGAGAAGGCAGAGAGCGCATGGGAGTTGCGTTGTTCAGCTTTCTCTCTGTCATCTGTTTCCAGCAGACCATCTGCCTAGCAGTAGGCACAGCTTTCCTTCCAGTGGATGAAACAACATTCCTGTTGTCCTTAGCATTTTTCACCACCTCAATCACTGAAATGTAACCTTCCTGACGCTATTCTTACATATTCCCGCCACGCTTTGTTTTCACCCATGGTCATGTACCCAATGTCCACCTTTCAATCATGTCATCTGAAAACCCCAGCTAACATGCTTCACTTCCAGGGCAGCCCCCTTTTCTTCATCACTGGGATGATTTGAACTTGGAATAATCAGCTTCTCAGCAACAGAGACCATGGTTTTCAGACTGTCTAGGTAAAAGTAATAGTATTTATTGTTTGTAGAGCTGTGTACGTCACAATAGGATTATGACCTAGGTTACTCTTATTATCTTCATTTTCAAGACAAATAAACTGAGGTCTAAAGGTCACAGTTATTTTAGGGTGGAGCTGGGTGAGTCTTGAACCCATATTGTCCAACGTCAGAAGCCGAATTCTCTACCACGTCACCGGAAGCCACTCCTGAGCATCATGGCAGAGAAGGCAAACCTAGCATCGAATTTCCCAGAAGGAGCTCTCGCAGGCCTTACTGTCAGTGGCGTGACTGAGACAACTTGAGCCAGAACAAAGGGCCTGGACACAAGGAGAAGGAAGATGGTCCTCAAAACAGGAGCCAACTTCATAGGGTGTTGAGAGGCTTAAATGAGATCATTCATCCACTCGCCAAGTATGTGTCAATCACTGCACATCCTCCACAAAGCCTTTAGTGTTAGGAGGTGAGGACTTCATAGTTCTGAAATGGCTCCCCCATCCCTTTCCACAGTCTCTCTGGACCCCAGGACACCTGGGCCCCTCAGGACAAGTGACTTGGAGACTGACAATTTCAGTAGCAACAATTCCTGGTCACCTTAAGCCAGTTTCTGCTCCAGACACCCAGAGGGCGCAGAAGCGGGGGAGATGGTGTTTCTGGCTTTGGCCAAAGGAGTCATCACAGCTTTTCTTAACTTGGCCTTTAAATTACCTCAATAAAGAAGAGGCTAAACACTTAACCGCTGTGGAGCATATCTTATTGATTGGAGGAGAGAGGCTCTGGCCTGCTTGCCTGGGGCTGAGCAGGAACCAGAGCAGGCTGGTCCCAGGGGGCAGCTGCCAAGGTGTGAAGTTTCTCTGAGCTCTGAGAGTAGCCGGCACTGTCCCAAAGTGGCTTCACGGCTTAAGGGGCTGCGATTTGGAGCTCATGGTCCCCTCTAAGACAGCATGGCTAGTAGAAAAGAGATGAGAGCAAGAGGAGTGTGTTTTACTCCCAGGCGTACCCAAACGTGGACAACCCACTTCATGCATCTGTACAATGGGGATCGGGGTTCCAAGCTCACAGGGTTCATGGAGCTTATGTGAGGCAAACGTGTAAAAGTGTTTTGGAAATTATAAATCTCCACATGAATAGAAGGCGGTTTATTATTCATCGCTTTTGTTATCAAAAATGAAATTGTGTTCTTCTTCTGCCTCAAAATCATCCATGGTTGGGCTTCCCTGGTGGCACAGTGGTTGAGAGTCCGCCTGCCGATGCAGGGGACACGGGTTCATGCCCCGGTCTGGGAAGATCCCACGTGCCGCGGAGCGGCTGGGCCCGTGAGCCATGGCCGCTGAGCCTGCGCGTCCGGAGCCTGTGCTCCGCAACGGGAGAGGCCACAACAGTGAGAGGCCCGTGTACCGCCAAAAAAAAAAAAAAAAATCATCCATGGCTCCTCTTTGCACTTGGATGAAACCCACGCTCCTCGTTGTGGCCCACTAGACCCCGCATGGTCTGGCCTCCCACCTGCCGCCTCAGTTTCCTCTTGTAGAACCCGCCACCCGCCCTGTGCGCCAGCCCCACTAGCCCTTTCACTGTTCCTAGAACAGGCCAAGCCCCTTCCTACCTCAGGGCCTCCGTCCTTTCTGTTCCTGCTACCTGGCACACTCTTCCCCAAGGCTGTTGCCTGGCTGGATTCTTTACCTTCAGATCTTAGCTTAAATGTTACCTCCTCAGAGAAGCCTTTCCTGACCACACTCCCCCAACCCGGCACAGCACCCATCTCTGTTCTCTTCATAGAAATAGCCAGAAGTCACAATGTTATTATATATTCACTTTACGGTCTCTTCCCCTGGTAGGATGCTGGCTCCGTGAACATAAGGATCTTGTCTATTTTGTTCACTCCCAGGTCCTATCACAGTACCTGGCACACAGTAGGCACTCTAAACAATTGTTGAGTGAAGGAGTGAATGATTGGCAGGGAAGCCTGACTTGTTTCCCAAATGGCCTTTCTTCCTTACACCCATTTCTCTTTCTGTCTCTCAGATATGGAGACATGGTGCCCAAGACGATCGCAGGGAAGATCTTCGGCTCCATCTGTTCCCTGAGCGGTGTCCTCGTCATTGCCCTGCCAGTCCCTGTGATCGTTTCCAACTTCAGCCGGATTTACCACCAGAATCAGAGAGCTGATAAACGCAGGGCACAAAAGGTAAGTCTCAGACCCGGGAAGGGGACAGGCAGCACCAGGGAGGGTGCTCTTGGCCTTGTGCTGCTTTCATAGGAGCTCCTGGGAGAATCACCGCACAGATGGCCTCTGGCTTTGGAAGGTAAAGCAGCGCCAAGTGCCTTCCTACCTACCAGTAACCTGCATTCCAGCCCCAGACAGCTGCACAAGACAGCAAACCCTCAGTTATACACAAGCTGGTGTTCTCCCTTTCGGAAGATATTCTGTGCATTTTCCGTGGGCCCTTGGCTCCTCTTCCAAGATCTCAGCCATCAACTCTGGGTAGTGCCCGGACTCTTCCCTTTCCCAGCCAAGGGCTTACTGGGGAACATAATTGCTTTTCAGTACTCTGTAATAGACTATACGAAACAAAGTGACAAAAATAAATTTGCTAAAAAGAAAAATGAATACTCTGAAAGGAGAACATTCTGAGGCCATTGAGTTCAGGGACAAATGGCACAGCAGGCTTTAGTCACCTCATGGTATCGTAGGATAAGGCACGGAACTGCAGTTGACGGTCAGGAGATTAACCATGGGTCCTGGAAAAGTTTTCAGTGATGTCCAGAGAACACGGCTTAGGAAGGCAGGGCAGGATGAGTGCCCTCTCACCACAGGATGAGAAAAGATGTCTGAAGGCTTTGGTGCCAAGACAGAAGCCTCCTTTCATGACTGGCCACCACCTTCTACCCAAAATACCTCACCCTCTCAGCCAAATGTCATTTCTCTGCATTTTTAGGGCATCTGGCTGGTGAACGTTCTTGGACCCAGGGGGCAGCTTTTCCTTTTTCTTCTGTTTTTTTTTTTTTTAAGTATTCAGCTTTATTTTTTTTTAATTTTTGAATTTTATTTAATGTATTTTTTTATACAGTAGGTTCTTATTAGTCATCAATTTTATACACATCAGTGTATACATGTCAAACCCAATCTCCCAATTCATCCCACCACCACACCCCGCCCCAAGCCGCTTTCCCCCCTTGATGTCCATACATTTGTTCTCTACACCTGTGTCTCAATTTCTGCCCTGCAAACTGGTTCATCTGTACCATTTTTCTAGGTTCCACATATATGCGTTAATATACGATATTTGTTTTTCTCTCTCTGACTTACTTCACTCTGTATGACAGTCTCTAGATCCATCCACATCTCAACAAATGACCCAATTTTGTTCCTTTTTATGGCTAATATTCCATTGTATATATGTACCACATCTTCTTTATCCATTCGTCTGTCAATGGGCATTTAGGTTGCTTCCATGACCTGGCTATTGTAAATAGAGATGCAATGAACATTGGGGTGCATGTGTCTTTTTGAATTATGCTTTTCTCTGGGTATATGCCCAGTAGTGGGATTGCTGGATCATATGGTAATTTTATTTTTAGTTTTTTAAGGAACCTCCATACTGTTCTCCATAGCGGCTGTATCAATTTACATTACCACCAACAGTGCAAGAGGGCTCCCTTTTCTCCACACCCTCTCCAGCATTTGTTGTTTGTAGATTTTCTGATGATGCCGATTCTAACTGGTGTGAAGTGATACCTCATTGTAATATTGATTTGCATTTCTCTAATAATTAGTGATGTTGAGCAGCTTTTCATGTGCTTCTTGGCCATCTGTATGTCTTCTTTGGAGAAATATCTATTTAGGTCTTCTTCCCATTTTTGGATTAGGTGATTCGTTTGCAAATATTTTCTCCCATTCTGAGGGTTGTCTTTTTGTCTTGTTTATAGTTTCCTTTGCTGTGCAAAAGCTTTTAAGTTTCATTAGGTCCCATTTGTTTATTTTTGTTTTTATTTCCATTACTCTAAGAGGTAGATAAAAAAAGATCTTGCTGTGATTTATGTCAAAGAGTGTTCTTCCTATGTTTCCCTCTAAGAGTTTTATACTGTCCAGTCTTACATTTAGGTCTCTAATCCATTTTGAGTTTATTTTTGTGTATGGTGTTAGGGAGTGTTCTAATTTCATTCTTTTACATGTCCCTGTCCAGTTTTCCCAGCACCACTTATTGAAGAGACTGTCTTTGCTCCATTGTATACCCTGCCTCCTTTGTCATAGATTAGTTGACCATAGGTGCATGGGTTTATCTCTGGACTTTCTATCTTGTTCTATTGATCTATGTTTCTGTTTTTGTGCCAGTACCATATTGTCTTGATTACTGTAGCTTTGTAATATAGTCTAAAGTCAGGGAGTGTGATTCCTCCAGCTCCTTTTTTTCCCCTCAAGACTGCTTTGGCTATTCAGGGTCTCTAGTGTCTCCATACAAATTTTAAGATTTTTTGTTCTAGTTCTGTAAAAAATGCCACTGGTAATTTGATAGAGGTTGCATTGAATCTGTAGATTGCTTTGGGTAGTATAGTCATTTTCACAGTATTGGTTCTTACCATCCAAGAACATGGTATATCTCTCCATCTGTTGGCATCATCTTTAATTTCTTTCATCAATGTCTTATAGTTTTCTGCATACAGGTCTTTTGTTTCCCTAGGCAGGTTTATTCCTAGGTATTTTACTCTTTTTGTTGCAATGGTAAATGGGAGTGTTTCCTTAATTCCTCTTTCAGATTTTTCATCATTAGTATATAGGAATGCAAGAGACTTCTGTGCATTAATTTTGTAACCTGCAACTTTACCAAAATCATTGATTAGCTCTAGTAGTTTTCTGGTGGCATCTTTAGGATTCTCTATGTAAAGTATCATGTCATCTGCAAAGTGTGACAGTTTTACTTCTTCTTTTCCGATTTGTATTCCTTTTATTTCTTTTTCTTGTCTGATTGCTGTGGCTAGGACTACCAAAACTATGCTGAATAATAGTGGTGAGAGTGTATATCCTTGTCTTGCTCGTGATCTTAGGAAATGCTTTCGGTTTTTCACCATTGAGAATGATGTTTGCTGTGGGTTTGTCATATATGGCCTTTATTATGTTGAGGTAGGTTCCCTCTCTGCCCACTTTCTGGAGACTTTTTATCATAAATGTGTGTTGAATTTTGTCAAAAGCTTTTTTGCATCCATTGAGATGATCATATGGTTTTCATTCTTCAGTTTGTTAATTTGGTGTATCACATTGATTGATTTGCATATATTAAAGAATCCTTGCATCCCTGGGATAAATCCTACTTGATCCTGGTGTAGGATCCTTTTAATGTGTTGTTGGATTCTGTTTGCTAGTATTTTGTTGAGGATTTTTGCATCTATATTCACCAGTGATATTGGTCTGTAAATTATTTTTTTTGTAATATCTTTGTCTGGTTTTGGTATCAGGGTGATGGTGGCCTCACAGAATGAGTTTGGGAGTGTTCCTTCCTCTACAATTTTTTGGAAGAGTTTGAGAAGGATGGTTGTTATCTCTTCTCTAAATGTTTGATAGAATTCACCTGTGAAGCCATCTGGTCCTGGAATTTTGTTTGTTGGAAGATTTAATCACAGTTTCAATTTCATTACTTGTGATTGGTCTATTCATATTTTCTATTTCTTCCTGGTTCAGTCTTGGAAGGTTATACCTTTCTAAGAATTTGTCCATTTCTTCCAGGTTGTCCGTTTTATTGCTATAGAGTTGCTTGTAATAGTCTCTTAGGATGCTTTGTATTTCTGCGGTGTCTGTTGTAACTTCTCCTTTTTCATTTCTAATTTTATGGATTTGTGTCCTCTCCCTCTTTTTCTTCATGAGTCTGGCTAATGGTTTATCAATTTTGTTTATCTTCTCAAAGAACAAGCTTTTAGTTTTATTGGTCTTTGCTATTGTTTTCTTTGTTTCTATTTCATTTATTCCTGCTCTGATCTTTATGATTTCTTTCCTTCTGCTAACTTTGGGTTTTGTTTGTTCTTCTTTCTCTAGTTCCTGAGGTGTAAGGTTAGATGGTTTATTTGAGATTTCTCTTGTTTCTTGAGATATTCTTGTATAGCTATAAACTTCCATCTTAGAACTGCTTTTGCTGCATCCCATAGGTTTTGGATCATCGTGTTTTCATCGTCATTTGTCTCTAGGTATTTTTGGATTTCTTCAGTGATCTCTTGGTTATTTAGTAATGTATTGTTTAGCCTCCATGTGTTTGTGTTTTTTTACTTTTTTTTCCCTGTAATTGATTTCTAATCTCATAGTGTTGTGGTCAGAAAAGATGCTTGATATGGTTTCAATTTTCTTAAATTTATTGAGTCTTGATTTGTGACCCAAGATATGATCTACCCAGGAGAATGTTCCGTGCGCACTTGAGAAGAAAGTGTAATCTGCTGTTTTTGGATGGAATGTCCTATAAATAGCAATTAAATCTATCTGGTCTATTGTGTCATTTAAATCTTGTGTTTCCTTATTTATTGTCTTTTTGGATGATCTATCCATTGGTATAAATGAGGTGTTAAAGTCCCCCACTATTATTGTGTTACTGTCAATTTCCTCTTTTATAGCTGTTAGCAGTTGCCTTATGTATTGAGGTGCTCCTATGTTGGGTGCATATATATTTATAATTGTTATATCTTCTTCTTGGATTGATCCCTTGATCATTATGTAGTGCCCTTCCTTGTGTCTTGTAACATTCTTTATTTTAAAGTCTATTTTATCTGATATGAGTATTGCTACTCCAGCTTTCTTTTGATTTCCATTTGCATGGAATATCTTTTTCCATTCCCTCACTTACATTCTGCATGTGTCCCTAGGTCTGAAGTGGGTCTCTTGTAGACAGCATACATATGGGTCTTGGTTTTGTATCCATTCAGTGAGCCTGTGTCTTTTGGTTGGAGCATTTAATCCGTTCACATTTAAGGTAATTATTGATATGTATGTTCCTATGACCACTTTCTTAATTGTTTTGGGTTTGTTTTTGTAGTTCTTTTCTTTTCTTGTGTTTCCCACTTAGAGAAGTTCCTTTAGCATTTCTTTGGAGCTGGTTTGATGCTGGTTTGGTGGTGCTAAATTCTCTTAGCTTTTGCTTGTCTGTAAAGCTTTTGATTTCTCCATCGAATCTGAATGAGATCCTTTCAGGGTAGAGTAATCTTGGTTGT